ATTTGCTTTCAATTTTTTGGTTGTGGAACGTTTTTTCACCAAGTGTTTTAGTTACGGGATGAAACTATATTAAACAATGCACTGGGCAAACTTTTTAATCTTGCTTTTTTGAACTCAATGGTGCACTATATTCTTTCAATTTGACCAGTTTTTTGTTAGTTTTCATTTTGATCTTAATCCAACACAGTAAACACAGTATTCACATGTTTTTCATGAAATACATGCGTTTCGTATGTTTCGGTGCCATATTTGAAAAATTAGTGCTTGATTTGAAACAGTAGTGCAATATTTTTCCTATAAAAAACCATCAAGACATACTAGAAAGAAAAAACCACGTGTTAGCGTGAAAGATTTTTGAAATGAGTGTTTTGTTCGATTTTTTCACATGGTCATACCCGATAAACAACAGCTTATAGTGCATCTCGAAATTTGTTCACATCTCGACACAGCGTGTCTCGACTTTCTTAAAAAGCTTCTCGGTGCAAGTTATAGCTATTGCTTATTTTCTACAAATCAACTAAGATTTGTACTAAAAAGAGTGACAACGAAGATCAAAGTGAGCTGAACAATTTTTTTTGTCACTCGAAACATTTGCATAAATATTGCTTGCGTTTTAGGACTCTCAATAAACTTAAATTACGACAAAAAAAGTAACTTAAATTGTCAACTGAGATCGCTGATTCATTTTTCGACCCATGAAAGAGCATCGATTCATTGTTTAACTGATTACTTTTTCAAATAAAAGAATTACTCTAGTGGACAAAATTAAACACAAATTCAGGTTTTTACTCTGCAAAACCCAACTTTAGGACCAGTTTGGACAATATTCACTTCCAACTTTGTACTATGACCGCCAGCAAATGATATGAACTACCCTCTCTAAAAGTATCAATTTTTAAATTGAAGTACTTACCAGTTTTTTCCGGGTCTGAAATTTCCAGTTTTTATCATCCGCACTAAGATTTTCAAAAAATTTCAAATTGAAAGAAACATCTGAGTTTAATAAAGCTGTCACACTGATTATTTCCTTTTTCTTGCTGAGAATGTTTCACGTTGCATGTCGCAACTGTTTTACTCCGTTGATTCGAGAAAGAGTTCACTACGATGCAAAACTGGCATTTTCAGACCCGAAAAAAAACTGGTAAGTGCTTCAAATTAAAGTTTGAGACTTTGAAAGAGGGTAGTTCAGATCATTTGCAGTCGAGTCGGCCCGGCCTATGTAACAATTTTGTTGAAGTTGAACGAACATATTGTCCAAAACGGTCTCTAAAGTTAGGCTTTTCAGAGAGTATCATCTGAATTTGCGGTTAATTTTATCCACTAGTATTTCATGCCATTTTTAGTGGCATGCGCAGTAGCGTGCCGATGGGAGAGGGGGCGGGGGTGTGACCGCCCTCTTTCAATTCTGGTTGCCAATTTTTTCCGAAGGGTCCCCCCTTTGGCATAATTTTACGACATCCATTTTTGGCTATCCAGCCTCAAAATTTTTCTAAAGGCGTCTTCGGCATTTCTAGACGCATTTTTTTGCAAATTTTTCAAAAAGTGACCAAAACGCCGTTTTAAGGCCTGGTTTTTAAAAAAATTGCTAAAAAAATAGGGTCTTTATAGTATTTTCGGAAAGCTCAGAAAATCAAATTGGTCGACCTAAAAAAATGGTCCGCGAAATTTTCGAAATTTTACAAAAAACCGCCCCCTCGTAGAAAATTTTCTGTGCACACCACTGGGCATGCGCAATTTTTTTTGACGTTTTAGAAATTTTCGATCTCAGCCAAAGCCCCAAAATGGCTAGAATTGAAAGATTTTTCTGCGGCACACAGCAAATTGATTTTAAGAAAAAATGCCGGACCAAGTTAGAATCCTCCCGGAGCAAGTTAAGGGGGGGGGGGGGATGCCGCCAAGTTAGGGGGGAGGATGTTAACTTGCTTTTCAGCCAATCAGAATTGAGCGTTTTACATGCAGCGCTTAGCAAACTAAACGCGAATTAAAGGCTGGGGTGGAAGATCTTAACTTGGTCGATCTGGGGGAGAGGATGTTAACTTGATTCAAAAATTCTATTTTCCACTTTTTTTGGAAAGTATATAAGGGCGTCGACCATTATGGCGTAGAAAGTGTATAACGGCGTAGAAAGGTCTGTCGTAAAGTAGTACCAATTTGAGGACCCCCCAGGCACGCTACTGGCTGTGTTCGTTCAAAGAAGAAAGTTAATTTTAATTGAAATTTGAAAAAAAATGTCCTTAGCTAAAGCCTCAAATTAAAATGTGTGGGGACAGACGCGACAGGAGTGATAAAAGGAGTAAGGAGACCAGAATCAGCATGGGCTATGCCAAGTGGGGGGAGTTGTCGGGACCCCCTAGTGCGGTAATGAGGCATTCTTCGCGGGGACTCCACAGCCGCTGTGATGAACACAATTTAAACCAAAAGAAGTATCGTAATTTTTGCTCAATTTTGCTTGTTTCATCTGTTAGATACATTTTACTTCAAGAAAATTAGTTTCGAGTGAGTAAAAACATCAGTTTCGGTTCAGTCATAAACTTTGAAAAACTGCGCTTATTATCGGTCATTTTGGCATTGATTTTTCAGAAAAAATTTTAAATGGACTGCTTTTGCCTGTTTTTGATAGGAAAGGTCAAAAATTTGGTGATTCTTCTCTGCAGAAACTCTCTGACCTAGAAGTAATCAAAAATTGACATGTAGTTCTTAATCAGTGGCACAAAAACGGTTATCCGTAATGAGCTGCGAAAATCTTTCATGTTAGTTCTTTTTTATCTTGTAACAAGTTCCCCCTATTTGCAGGAGGGTTGATAGTTAAAATATCATTCTTGTAAAATAATATGCTTTCAGATCAAAATATATTTTTTAGGAGAGCGAGGTGTACTCCACTTCATCATGCATGTCTCAGTCAGAAAATCCTTCTGCTGGCAGACCTTCGGCTAATTGGATACCCGAAGAAAATCACCACGCAAGCTGCAAGTGAACTGAACACGAGTGCCAGCGACAACGACAACGGAACAGACGGGCCAGACCTTATCGGAACAAACTGCGATTCACTTCACCACATTCTGCTAACTTCCGGTTTCGCCTCAATGCCCAGAAATGAACAAACTTACGGCATATTCAAGAAGGCCTTCCGTGTGTCGAAACGCTTAAGTAAACCGGGAGTCGATTCCAATTGGTCGAAAAGTCTACAAGCCGACGGAAGTGTTGACGAAATCGAACGAATAGACATTCAAGGCTCGTCTAAAGTAACTTCTGGTTCCAGAAAATCTATCGTGGATCGAAAGATAACTGATTTAACAGTTCACGAATTCAGGTATTACAAACATAACAATTCGGCTGAAGTTGTCGTTATATCACCCGAAATACAATCCGAAAAACACCGAGAAGCTATCTTGAAAGCTCCAGGAAAATACTTCATGACTGAAACACCCCACCAAACCCAACAGCCTTGTAGCATTTATATCATTCGTCCAGTTGAAACGTTTACTGCCAATAATATCGAAATGGAAATGATTATCAAATGCCATCAAACCTTACTGACTGCACATATTTGTCCGATTGACAAGTTAGCCGAGTTGTTGCAATCAGTGTTCGGTAAGTTCGGATGCGCCGACTCGCCGTTCACACATCCGAACGAGCACTATTACGACCCAGATTACTATGATTCCAGTGTAGATACTACGGTTAACGACTTCTGGACCGACCCTCACGACTTTTAGCAAGATTTCAATTAAATTTACAAAAAATGTATATTTGCTTTCTATTTGAAGTTACTCGATCCAAGATTGAGCCAAGAGGTTCATTCGTATGTGCCTCGATTTATTGAAAAAATTGGAGCTAAGTTTTTGAATGTCAGCACGTTGAGGTCAGCTAGGCAATGGGTTGGGGGGGGGGGGGGGGGAGTTTTTGTTTTTTTTTATTCCTCAAACACCACTCAGCAAATAATGAAGGATTTTCCAAAATTAAAATAATGCCGAATTATATTTAAAAAATTATAATTCTGTTTTTCTGAGATCTAAACAGTTTTCTGTTTTCCTGAGCTCTCAGAAGCGGATCTAGGATTTTCTTAAAGGAGGCGGATTTTCAAAAAATGTTTGAATATTTTGATCGACCTTTTTTTAGGTCGTCCAATTTGATTTCCCTCAGGCGCCTTCAGAACATTTTAGGGTCCATCTGCCAAAAATGGATATCTCAAAATAGTGCGAAGGGGGACCCTTTGGGTCGGCAGGGGGTCGAATCCCTGATGGGGAGAGGCGTCCTAAATGCGCCCCTGGTTTCAGAGGTACATCTAGGACTTTCTCGAGGGTGGGGGTTCGACTTTTTATAGATCGACCAAATTGTTTTCCCGAGCTCTCTCAAATCGCAAAAAGACCCTAATTTGACCAAATAATCAATAATCAATTTGGCTATCTATTAAGAATTTTTCGAAAAAACAGGCTAAAAAAAGGCGCTGTTAGGCCCTATTTGGAAAACTTTTTCCTTCCCGCCCCCCACCCCCCACCTCACACGAGCATCAATTTTATGATGTAACGAGTGGTTTTTATTACAAGGTTAATTATGAAGACCAAATATGTTTGCCATGGCTTTATTAGTCCGTATGCCAATTTTCATAACAATCGAATGATGTGAACAAATTTTTCATTTAAAAAGTTTTGCAGGTGGGTGGGGGGGGGGGGGGGGGGTGTGGGTGGTTTTGGTCACAATTTTGATGAAATAATTGTGTTTTTTTTTTCGGTGCGCGCTTCCCCTCAAGAATAGTATATATTGGCGCCAATTGTCCGACCCCCGCTCACCCTGAATCAGCTACTGCCATTTTTTGTGAAATTTTGCTCCATGGGTAAAATTTTCACAGCATAATTACAAAAAGCCGTTTTGGTGTTCTTAAAAAAAATTGGCACCAAAACTTTTTTTAGCTTACTTCAAAAAACATCAATGCTAGAAAGAAAAGAATTGTTTTTTAAAAAAATCAGTTTGATAATCTGTTTTTTTTTCGTAACAGTGAAAAATTTCAAGACAGACAAAATAAAAATTAAATAAACATTAAAACTTCTAATTAACAATTCAATCACCTCAATTTGTCGAAATTAAACTTTCGTGTCTGGAAACTCGTCCAGATTTGAGAGATTCCGTCTGTAGTTTTTCTTTTCCAAAGCCCACCTAACAGTCGTTGAAAGCAACCAGGAAAAGGAAAAAGCAATAACCAAAAAACCGCCGTAAAATATCCCGTCTTCGAAGCTTCCAAAGTAGTCGCGGAACGCTCCGCCGACCGGAGGTCCAATGAAAAGACCGAGGAACTCGAATGAAGTCAGGATTCCACCGATAGCGCCGGAAGTTGATAGGTCGCGTGTCTTGGTGATAATTTTGGCTTTTTCGGCTTCCTCGGTGACTGCCAGTTGGTCCAGGACTAAACCAGGCGATAGAAAAATGCCAGCCATGGAGAGGGTAGCTGAAAAGCAAATTAAATGAAAGTAAGATATCAAGTAGTAGAGCACAGAATTTTCCGAAAACAGAAACCCAAGTAAAGTATACTGAGTTAAGTATACTTTAAGAATTTAATATATCCGCCCCTGCTTTTATGTTAGGGAAATTCTTTAGTAGATACCATAGGGGTGGGTGTTGTTAATTAGAACCAAAGAATTATAATTCTTCGGATCTAGTTAACAACGGCCACCTCTATGGTATCTACTAAAGAATTTCCTTAACATAAAAGCAGTAAATTTGCAGAAGAGGTTTATTTTATTATTTTTATTTCGATTTTTGCTGCCTTCTGATTTTGCTGCCTTCGAATATTCGACTAACTTAACCTTCTTAACAATTGCCCCCCTATCTTAAAAGGGGAGCGGGGGTAATTGGGAATAAGTTAACATCCTCCCCCCTAAACACGTTTAGGGGGGAGGATGTTAACTTGATCCGGTAATTGTTGCATAGATCCAATACTTTTTCCAAAACGTCCGGAACATAAGTAATATACAGAAAAGTTCTAATATATAACATGGCGCCGTCATTTAAGCTTATCAGACCGAATCATAAAAGCTCAATGAGCCTAAAAAACTTATTTTTTATGCTAAACCAACCTGCAAGAAGCCAAGCATTCGGCTCAATTCCCAGTATGTTCTGAATCGGCTTAATGGGACCCATAAAAGCAGGCACAGGTGAAAAGAGAACTAGCGACCCCAACAGAATCACTTTACGTCTCAGAGGAGTGGTTCCCATAACCTTCCAAGGAACAGCCATAACAGCTATTGCAATGTATGCCAGAGCCACGATTCCACCTATGGTCGGAAAGCTGAGGTCGAAGGATTTTAGTCTGGTGCTGAGAATCGGCTGGTTGAACGCCAGAGTCATGTATCGGAAAAAGTGGCTGAGGAGAAGAAAGCGGATCTCTGAGGAGCTGAGAAGGTCTACCAGGAACTTCCACTGTTGATTGGGTTTGGGCGACTTAAGAGTCTCCAGTTCCTGCAGCTCTTCGACACTTTTGATTGAGCGAGAAGTCCCCAGCTAAAGGACAAACATAATCAATTAAAACGTTTTTTTTTTTTTCTACAAGTATCTGAAATTTGGGAAGGTTCGACACCTCAGCGCAAGCAAAAACATTAAAATAAAAATGAATAACGTTTTATTTACAATTCTGAATTTATTAATTACAGGCGCTTGTAAAGTTACACTTCAAATCAAACCTCAAGAACCCATTTGAAATTTTTGATAGGTAATAAATAGTGGATTCTATTTATTTGTTGCTGTGTTTCAAACATGACCAAACAAAGATAGATTCGCATCAGCGGTTACGTATCCAGAATGATTATCCAGAATGACTGGTATTAATACATGACATTACTAAAGTATAACAAGAAGATGTTAAGAAAAGTGTTCACTTCTTCGTGCAGCTGTCGGAGCACCCTGGGAATCCAGAAGTAGCAGACTACTCCCCACCCCAATTCCAGTCCCCCCACAGTCAACACACACATGGCAAGTCCCCCCACCATGTATAACACACCCGCTATCACAAACGCCAACACAGTGCCTAGAAAAGTTACACACATCACAATTGAAGTCTCATTGAAAGAAGAGCTGATTGTCAGTTCGCGACCGACAACTCGTAGCCCAGCCCAGATACGAGCCTAAATCGAGCAAACAATTCTTGGATCGCGTTCATCACAAAGTGAAATGAACAGCAATCGCTTTTAGCATACCTTCATAGCAGGGGCGAATTTAGAGGGAGGGGAGGGGGTCAAGGTTTCCACCTCCTCATCAACTAAAAGGGGTCCTCCCTTTGGTACTATTTTATGCATCCATTTTCGGCCGCCCAAAACGGAATTTTTGACCTGTTTCTCCAGCGGCGCTATAATTTTTTTAAATCAAAAACGTTTTTTATACTGTTCTGGGAGGACTGGAAAAATCAATTTGGTCGACCTAAAAAAAGATGGACAAAATTTTTAATTTTTTTTTTGAAAATCAGCCTCTTTTTCCCTCGAGAAAATCTTTGATCGGTTCCTGCTTCATAGCATATCTAAGATCATCTTCATTTAAAAAAATAACGGATTATACTTGATTTAATTTTTTTCTCTTTTTCCTGCCGCATTTAATTTAAGACCGATTTTTTTATAATAAATTATATATAAAAATTATATTGAAAATATTGACGTATTGAGTTTAACATTAAAGCGTTATTTCACCAGGGATCATATTTTTAGCAATGAAACTGGTTATTTTTGAAGTGACGGGGGTCTGCTCTGCCAAATTGATTTAACTAAAATTGCAAGAGAATGTAATGGAGAGTTCATATTTATTGTAAATTTTATGTCATTTAGTCTGAAAAACGGAAAAACTCGCACCAGTTTTTCTCGAAACAGACTACTTTTTTTGAAATTTTTGGGCCCCGAATGTCGGCTGAAATGGCTTCAATCTGATACCTGACTTGACTATATACATGATTAATGTGACTTAGTTAAAATCTGGAGGGGGCGGGCGGAATCTATAGCTAGTCCATAATTCCTTCCGTTGACGCGGTCGGGCACGCAAAGCAGTTATGCTTATTTATCATATTGGTCATAAAAATCGACACTTATGTCGAACATCACAACCCGCGCTTGCTTTAGTAAAAGTATCTTATGAAAAGCGAAAACAACCTCGTCTTCGACGAAAACAAGCTCATCATCATTGATAAGATTGAGCCTTAAATTTGAAAAAAAAAGTTCTGAAAAAAATAAACAACGTAGTATAAAAATTCTCGACGTTAAAAATGAAATTTCAAATATGTTACGAATATTTTGTCTGAGTTTGAGGGACTGCTTAATCGATTTGTCAACTTACCCAATGTGTACGCGATGGTCTCGATTGATTTGGCCTTGGTAATCTGGTGGTTCTCGTACTCTGCAATCACCAGTGCATTGGTCGAGGTCATGCTACACGCCAGTCCAATTCCACTAAATAAACGTGTACTAACCATTTTATAACTTCTAAAAAAATATAATTTTCAACTTCTAAAAAAAACGTAATAACTTTCAACAAAAACAAAATTTATAACTTCTTAAAAAACATCATTTATAACTTCTAAAAAATATATTAACTTCTAAAAAAAACAATTTGTGTAATTAAGCAAATTTGTCAGATTTTTCTCATGATCACAAGGTCGCTTATAAAAATGTTGTCAAATTTTTATTAATGGATGTACTCTTTACGGCCTATTAATGCACCCCTCCCCCCTTGAAAAAGTACGGTTTCGATAAGTTAAATTGATCCAATAAGTTGATTAACCGTAAAGTAGAAAGTTAGTTGGAGACAATGAAATGGCGGTCAACCAAAGGTGACAGACAACTCCGAAGGTTAAATACTAGTTAGTGCCAGACAGATAGATAAATTAAATAGCAACAATTAGAATGAAACTAGGTTCGAAAGATGAACTAATTTAGATACTATGACATTCCCCTTCTTGTAAGAAGTGATGACTTAATTTAAGTACTTAATGAAATGTCGTTGTATGAATGAAATAAGTTAACGACGAGTTTTAACTAGAGTTTTGTTTACTAACTGCGACCACTTTTTAAACTTAAACAGTTGAGTTTTTGCCGCTTCACGGCATGCCCTATCCCTGGACGTTAGAATGTTTTAAGTTTTGTTTTTCATGTTTTTCCTCTTCTTTATTTTGTTCCTGATTTTTCCGCTTTTTGAATGTTGTCAATCATGACTGCCCCCATCTTGGTCACTGCTGTGCGCTTCCTGCCCGACCGTCTTGAGCTGGTCTCGTCCAATGAGCTCGAATCTTTGCTTGAATATGAAACAAGCCGTTGTTTCCTGCCCCGCTTTTTCCCTCCAGTTTGTGGATTTTGTGCTACTTCGCGCTCCGTCTTTAGTGGTGTATTTTCCGTGGTGTCGTCTTTCCTCCGGTTGGTCTCGATTTCCGCCTCTCGTGCAATCGTATACTCTGTCGCCGTCTCGTAATCACTCGGTCGAATCGTTATCGTCTCCGTCGGTACTTGATATTGTCCCCCATTAGACGTTCCTTGTCTCTCCCCTTCAACATCCGCTCCCGGGTTGCCCGCATTCGTCGTCTCGATAGCTTGTCTTGTCGTTGCCAGCGGTAAATAGTCATCCTCGTCCGATTCCGAATCCTCCACATTGTCCCTGATTTGGAGTTTAGATCGTTTTCCTACGGTGCGTTGGTAGGTTCCCGCGGTGCCTTTTGAGCTGCTTGGTTGGTTCGCCAATAACTTCCGTTTCAGGTCCTACGGCGTTGGTGGTGCAGCGATTTGGCCCGGCGCCCTTTTCTTCTGAATAGTCGTCCATTTCAGTGCTACTCCCGCTTTTCTAAGCACAGCACCATTACTCATTTTAATAGTATGTTCACTCTGATTTATTATACTGGATTTCAATGGTTTATACCTATTCAGATTTTGCTCTCCTGTCCGCTGCATTACTACCACTGGTGGTATTGAGGCTGGTTCATCCAACGCCCGAACAATCCCGGGTTCATTGTCCTGATTAGCAATCTGATCATCAACCAGTCTCATTGGGTGGCGCCTGTTATTCACATCATATTCCGTATCAGATTGGACTCCCCAGTTCGTGTCCATCGGTTCTGGCATCGCTTGAGTGTTCGGGTCTCGTTTATTTAAACAGGCAGATTTTGAGCGTATTACGTTTTCCCAATTTAGATTTCTTAATGATGGCTTTTTGGTCAAGTTCCTGAGGACCGTGTTAGCTTCCCGACCGTGGTGCGCTTCAAACGTTGTTATGTTCAGTGTGGCGTTTTTGGCGAATCTTAAAGCACTGAGGGCCCTTTCAACCATCCGATCCAAGGGTTCCGATTTTCCTCGCTGGACATAAAGTTCGTTCCGTGGTCAACTCGGATTTGTCGCGGAACTCCGTGGGCATGGATGTATGCTTTTAAAATTTTTACGATTTTGTCCGACCGATTTGAATTACACACCATAGCCGATGGCCAACAAGAAAACCGATCCACGGCCACAAGAACATACTTTTTGTATTCCTTTAAATAATTGATTGGCCTCCAAAAGTCTAATTGAACCGATTCATTCGGTTCTTTGTGCTCAGGTATTTTCCTACATCCCCTTACGAACACATGTTTTTCAAATTCTTACCAGCTTTTGTGCATTCTTGACAATTTCCTGCAATTTTTGCTAAGCTGCGGAACATGTACGGGTACCAGATGTCTTTGGCCGCGTCATACATACTCGATTTCCTATGGTGATAATAGTGCAATTTGATATTCACCGCCGCTTGCAAAGTGTTTGTTATGACTAGTCTCTCATCCATCCATCAGCATCCGTCTTTCACATGAAAATCCTAAGTGTACTGGGCATAATACTTGCTCATTACTGCAATTTCGTGTGTAAATGTGGGTCTTTGCACTTATTCATTTCAATGATTGCTTGGAGTTGAGGATCTGAACTATACTGCGATTCAATAAATCGAAGATTAAACAGTTCTGGAAGGGCGGTTTGTTTACTAACCACTTTGCAATTTCTCGGAATAACCGACATAACGCAATTTTCCGGATTAAACGGTGGATAACTTTTGCCGGGATAAACCGTAGGAATGGAAATAATGGTGTCACTCTTAGTGCTCCGGTTTCTGTGGTGACTGCTTGCATATCCTGGTCGATATCCTCTATTTCATCGCTTCTACTAATGCTGGGGTGTCGTTCCAATAATTTTTTAATCTTTCGTTCATTAATTAAAATTGGATTTTGAATGTTGAATGTTTGTACTTGAGTTTGAGGAACCAAAATCTGTCTCAATAATAGTCTCAATTGAATTTTCACTAGGCTTAATTGACCTGCCGGAAATGCAATTCGTCGCTCTGTGATTGGTCCATTGTCCACCGCATGATCGATCGCTACCGGCTGTTTGATATCCGATATATTACAAACGCGTTTAATATTATTAGTCTTTGGAGACTCGAGTCCGGGTTTGTGCTCCACTTGAAAATCAAACGGTATAAGACGATCTAACCATCTGGTTAATCTACTAAACATCGTCTTGTTCTTTTTGTTGTTCGCATTTAGCAACGATACAAGAGCTTTATGGTCCGTAACGATTAAAATTTTTCTCCCCAACACATAGTTTTGGAAATACTCCGCCCCCCACACAACTTTAGCATCTCTAATTCGTTTGTAGAATACTTTTTCTCCACCTCGTTTAAATACCGGGATGCGAAGGATATCGGCCTCCAACCGTCGGAATTTAATTGTTCAAGAACCGCACCGAGCCCGTTATGACTAGCGTCACAGACAATCCTCGTGTCACGGTGTATGTCAAAATGCCGAAGTTCCACTATGTTTGCCTCCGGCTTTTTTTAGACTCTCGAATGAGATTTGACAATCACTAGTCCAAATATATTTATTCTTTCTGCTTAATAAAGGGCGTAACGAGGCTGACAATTCCGCGAGTGCTCGGAGGTATTTGTGTAGGCAATGAATGGAGCCCATAAAAGATTTTAGCTGAGACACTGTTTTAGGTGCTCTTAGAGACTCGATCGGTTCCGTTTTTCGGATTAGCGGCGTAATTCCGGTGTAAGTTATTTTATGCCCCAACCATTCACATTCTTTCCGCGCGAATTGATATTTAGTAAGTTTAAGCGACATATTTTCTCGATCTAACAACCGCAAAATTTTCTCGGCCGCCGAGATTTGCTCAATTTCCGTGCCTTTGATGACAACCAAGATGTCATCAATGAGGGCGAGTGCCTGTGGAAATTCCGAGAGGATTGTATCCATTACTCTTCGGAATTCCGCTGGCATGGTTGTGAGGCCGTAAAACCCCGTTCGAGTTCGAAAACGATACGTGCCTGTTGATTTTCCTCCCACTAGCGAAAAATTGCATTGGACGCTCGTTTTCGGACTAAGTGGTAGTTGACCGTACGCATACGTAAGGTCAATTATAGAAAGTTATACTTCCCCTGGTTTTCGTTCGCTTATCGTTTGTCCTACAGTATCCCTGAGCTCTTCAAAATTAGGCATTTGATATTTATTCATGTGAACTTGTTTGTTCAGCTCCCTGGATTCTAGCGCTAATTTTACTGATCCATCTTTTTTCACTGTTATTACAATTGGAGAGACAAAGTACTTATCCGAACATTCTTCCAGTTTTTCGTTATGCCCTTGCTGCAAAAATTTACTAATTTCCTTACCAACCTTATCTTGCAATGTGATCGGCACTCTCCGTCCTTTTTGTTGAATCGGCAATAGCGTTTCAAAAAATTCCGCCTGTACCACATAATTCTTAATTTTTGAAAAAGATTGTTAAATTGCTTACTGAAATAAGTCTGCCAGCGATCTAATGAATCCTCCTCTCCTGTTGTTTTGGCCCCCGGTCGTTCTCCTTGAACTGACATCACCTTCTCCTCCGGTGTTCTTTGCACTATCTGCAATCCCAGATTTGGCATCAGATCTCTCCCAACAATCGACGGTCTGTTTCCTCCTATTACTTTGATGTTCGCGTCAGCCACCCATCCGTTCGTCTCCAATGATACTTCATCGTTCCTAGCAGCCTTAAAGGATTGTTTCCGTAATCCCTGAACTCGTCGTCTTCCGGTTCTAGCGCCTTCACGTTTACGCCTGCGGTGCCCAACCTCCGTTTCAGCTCTCCAACTGTGAATATTGAGATCGGTGATCCGCTATCTATCCAGACGTTCGTTTGCTTACAATTTATATTAATTGGTAGTCGAGCGCCGGCCACTTTCAATTCAGTTTCCCTCCGAGATTTGATAGCCATTACAACATAGTCTCCTGAGCTGTCCGAATCCCACGATCGTTGCCTCTTTTCTGGTGTGTTAACCCATCCGACTGAATTTTCATGTTGCGAATAGGTACCCTCAGCGTCGCCTATCTCACTGGCATCCACATTCTCCTGGTTTTGAATTAGTCAAACGGCAGGTCTTCCCCGGTTAGTCCGCTTTCCGCGACAAGTTTTCTCGTTTTTCCCGACAAGTAATGTCTGTCTTTCGGCAGAAATTACAGTTGCATTTTTGGCTGGGCATCTTGTGAGATGTTTCTGAGTAAAATTGAGTTGGTGCTCCCCCTCTCATGTCTGCTCGACCCCTGAACGACCCAAGTCCGCGCTGCCTATTATTTCGATATCCTCCTCGGATTGTCCCTAAGTTTGAAACGCTTTTTCCGGTTTTATTTGAAACGCTCCAGTTCCACCGGTGGTGCCGCTGGTTGTTGCTGCCCCGGTGGCCGATCCATATGATTTAGCATACTTATATCCACGCTCATATGACAACGCAATAAGGTACACCTCCTCGGGTGTCTTTGTTGAACGGCATAGCTCGTTCTGTGCCTCTCTATTATTCACGTTCACAATGAATACATCCCGCCGTTCCAAAATTGCATCGGGCGGCCAGTCCGCTTAAAACTGAGTGGAACTGTTCGAAGGATTCTCCAATGTGTTGTTTCCGTGCCAATAATTGGAATGTTTCATAGGTTTCACTCCGTTCTTTCTTAAACGCCGTTTCTATGGCATCTAATACCCTAGAATACCGGGTTGTAGACAGATCCAGATGTGGCCTCCTCTTATGCAATTCATCTTGTCCTTTCTCCCCCAGACAAAAGTACAAGTTCGAGATTAGAGTTTGCTCCGACGTCAGTCGATTTTTCCCGTCTAACGCCTCCGGTAGTGCCGTAATCTGCGCTGCGGTTAACGTACTGGCGTTGTAAAAATTTCTCGGATTGATGCTGTATTTAGCTACTATCCCCCATTGAAATCGGTTAAACCAAAACTTCTATAGCATTGGTGGCTCTGCGAACATTGAGGGCCAAAATGATGTAATCTCCAGTGGGTTTTTTCCCCCACTGTGTCCTGTTGGCTGCGCCATGAGAAAGTACGGTTTCGATAAGTTAAATTGATCCAATAAGTTGAGTAACTGTAAAGTAGAAAGTTAGTCGCAGACAATGAAATGGCGGTCAATCAAAGGTGACAGACAACTCCGAAGGTTAAATGCTAGTTAGCGCCAGACAGATAGATAAATTAAATAGCAACAATTAGAATGAAACTGGACTCGAAAGATGAACTAATTTTGATACTATGACACCCTGGAGAAATTTGACCCCTTCATTGTTCAAAGAAACCCCCCAAAGGTACCATTTTACAACATCAATTCTTGAAGGATTAATTTTTTTTTAGAATTTTGGCGCCAACATATACTAATTTTAAAGAGAAAGCGCGCATCCAAAACGCAAATTTCAGTCACAACCTTCCTAAGAGTGCCCAAAAATGCCCCGCTTGGACATTGATTTTGTTCAGCCTTTAGAAAAATTTTAGGGTAAGTCAGCCAAAAAGGATATCTCAAAATAGTACAAAAAGGGGATCCTTAGGGTCGGCATGGGGTCGACTCCCTGAATCCCTAAATCCGCCACTACATTAGGTCATTTTCCACCTGTATTTCACAAATTTGAGAGCGGCAAAAGTATTTTGGAAAAGTAGGTTCTTCGGGTGAAAACTGGAAAACTATTTTTTTTCTTAATATCCTTTGACGATCGGCCCGTGAAGGCGTCGAGTCGAGTTTATAATTGTTCCGTAAAATCACCCAGGTGCTAGAAAAGAATTACCTGACGGCGTAGCTGGCGGCGAATATGATGACGAAGGTCATGACGTAATCGGACAGAGCTGTGAGGGCGACTGCCATGATAGAGAGTGAGTGCGACACTATTCCGAACACGAGGAGTCGCTCGGCCGCGTTGTCGTTTCCGAACTTGGAGAACGAGGCCGAGATGTAGAGTGACGTCACCCACGACACAGCTGTCTCGGTGGCTACAAAATTAGGGTTTAAATGATTTTCTGTGCTCATAATAGCTTGTGAATCGAAACAGCTATAAAAAAGAGTTTGAAAAGAGCTAAAGGTGACTACTTGGAGCTGATTGTTTTAAATTATTGCGAGGAAGGATTGATATTATCTTGACAGCAGGGGCATTCTAGGGGGAACAATATTCAATCGACCAAAAAATTTTCAGAAAGAACCATTTGGTGCCCATATACATTAATTTTTAGATGATTATATGAGCAGACCTCTAAACATACGCATAAACAAAATTTTGGAAAACTTTTGCTGTCTAAGTTGGGTATTTTTGCATTTTGACCAAAAGTTTTAGTTTTTCCTCACTTGACAACAAATATAAAAAAAGGCTCTTTTCCACTGTTCACAACATTTCAAATTTTCCATTTTCTTAGTTGCTTTACGTGTTATTTCGGCTGAAATGCGTGATATTACGATCTTAAGTATGAAGAACAAATCTGTTCACAATAGTTAGTTTGTTCATCATGCCAAATATCAGTGGTTTCTGACAACGTTTAAAATAGTTTTGTAAAATTGGTTTTCAAATGGGTGGGGGGGGGGGGGGGGTGAAAAAGAGCTGAAATACGCATGAAAAGACAGTGTGACCTGTCAGAATTCCGACGGTAACTGCCGACACATTGCGAGTGCTGGCCTCAATGGGCACTACTATGGACCCCCAGAAAGAGGCTATCTGGTTTAGGAATCTGGTGAGACAAATGATAGCGAGGAGCTGCCTTTGGGGTCCGGTCAGGTTCTCGTCTTTCATCACTGATCTAACGGAGAGCGAGCTGCCATCCACTCGTATTCTATCCAAACTCTTGCTTCTCGGCACTTTCAGCACTGAAAAGTATATGTAACGTCCAACAAATATATATTAAACCCCCAATTTAATATGAGTTGTATTTATGAGTTGGACCACCTCCCATCCGCTGGTGGTCCAACTCATAAATTTAAGGGGGGGTAATACATTTTTGATTTGTGGTAGAAGCTTGCATGTTTAAGCTAGCTAACATTCAAAAAAACTCCGAATCTCGCCCTCCTTAAACACCGGTAATCACTTTTTCTGCAATTAATATCTAACAAAATTTTAACGAGCGTAACTAAAAAATCGCAGTTGTTTTTAAATAATTCACCATAACTTTTCGATTATTTCAAGGTCAAATGATTGTTTTGTGATTTCATCAAAGTCGGAAGGTACTTACAAGGACTGGCAGGACTGACCATTTTTTAAATTTAAAGGTCAACCGGTATCGATGGCTGTTAACTAGTAATTCCGAAAGAAAAAAACTTGAAGCTTGACTTTATGAAACAATACTTAGCAACTGTTTTTAATTATCTATAGTTTGAACTAGATCATCGAACATTTCCGGTTCTGAATTGTAGAGAACACTTCAATTTAAATTTTCTAATTAAATATCAATTTTCTTCTAAAATGTTATTAGTCCGCTCTGCATTACTCTGTAATATTTAAGCAGTTATGAACTTTGATTCAATCGAGCAACATTTGCTAAGATTGTGATGTACTACTCATTAAGAAGAAGCCATTTAATGAATCTTATTCAAAAAACTTGTTTAGAAGGGGACGGACCTTTTAGCATGTGTGTCGATTAGCATGCCCTTAAAAAATTGCAGTTAGAAAGATCGCTAGTTCAATATTTTGCGAAACTCAATTATGTGCACGTTCATCGACTATTTAAGGAAGCGAGAGCGGCCCTATGATTTCCTTTAAAAGTCGAATAATATTTAAAATTTCAAGCTATTTAAGAATAAATTGTGTTTCTTCTAAATGCATATCTGATCAAATGAAATATCACATGCTAAAAGGACGTATAAAAATGGCTACGCCTTCGCTTTTGCTGAGTGAAACTTGAAATTGAACTTCAAATATTTAAAATCGAACTAGAAATACTTTAAGTAAAAAATGAAATATTAAAATAAAATATTAGAAACTTTGAAACGAAACAGCATACCATTTTATTAAGTTTTATCATGAAAAATTATTTGCGCCAAGCTATCCAAATTGTGATCTTGCTCAGGACAAAAACGTGGCAAACATTCGGAAAAACTCAGAATCTAAATTTGATAATTTATTCCTCCATCGTTTAAATTAGTTTGCACTAGAAAAACCAACAACTATAATAAATAATAAATTGTTTTCAGGAACACAAATTTGTAGATTATTATAAGATATTGGTAAAAAAAATATATCATCTTGTGAAGCCTGAGAGAAAGTCTTTTGACCAAATGGTCCGTTTTCAAACGTCTTTGAACTATCTTTTGGCATTAATTTTAATGCCAATTTGAATTTAAAAAATGTTGGATTCGTTTTTGAATTTCTTCAACTATATTCCCCCTTTTGGAAAAGGGGGAGATTCGTTACTAGGTATAAATTTCTCATATGCTTAACCGTTCTTTGTTTTTTATCAGGTGGGGGGATATACTTAAATAGATCAATTTTTGACATAGGAAACTTGATACCACTTTCATTTGTACCAGGAGAGACCAAATAGTCCTTGACGATTTTGTCAAATTTGAAAATGTATAAGAAGTTTTGTGACGCATCATTATCTATAAATGTCAAAAGGTATAATTTTTGCAACGTGATGTTGCACATGCTTTAAGAATTTCCGTTCCGATCTATTTCTGTTTTTGTTATAACAAATAAAAATCTAAACAAGGGGAGCTGGTTGCTGGGCCAGTAGCACAGAAATTTTTGACCAAACGAAAAACACTACGAAAACGTTTTTTTTTAAACGGCGTCGTTTTTTGATCTGATCGTCAATTAATAAATCAATCTGATAAACAGCCTAAAAACCCATTATTGATAGCCAATTTGGTACATTATACATCTTATTTCTTCTTAAAACAAATGAAAAAGAATATCTTCTTTGTTTTTTTAAACTGTTTTCTCAAGAAGGCAATAAAAAAATTTGGTAAACTAAATTCATAGTAGTAAAATTAATTTTTCAAATTTTGACTTGATTTAAAAGACAATAATTCTCAGCTTTGTTCGCTTTATTCGCTCAAATTTAGAAGGAAAATAAAAAAAATCGAATTCATTTTTCTCGAAATTAAATCTAACTTCGAAAAAAGTGCTTTCTACTCAATTTTACAAAATCTTAAAAACAATATCAATGTAAATTTTCAAATTCAATTTTGAGAGAGCTTTAAATATAAAAAAGTCTGGGCCAGCAAACGCCAAAAATGATTCAGAGATGTATTATTTGAAATAGCTAAAAATACTAAAACCGACTTTTAAAAAATCATAAAATATCGTTTTCCTCTAGCTATAATTCAAAAGTGTAAACTGAATAATAAAATAGACCCTTGGTCACTGTAAAAACACTGATTTCTTTTCGAATTGACACAACTTTTTTGATACTTATATCAGGGTTTGGTGTTCATTTTATTTATTCCGCTCAAAAAATTAACATTTCAACATCTTGAACTCAAACTGTTTGCTTCAATCTGGTTTGCTAGAAGTAGCAAATCAAAATTCAGTACCTCCTCAAAATGCTTTGTTCACAAATTTTTGTTGAATTATAAATCACCCGAATTGGCCTAAGCTGAAGAATGTTTGGTAAACTATTCAAACTTATTTCAAATACGCTTCAGAGATTAAGACAAACAACAAAAAACAACTCTTGGGAAAAAAATTACGACCTTTGTATCTGATCAAAGTTCGGCCCTGTTAGAAGTCGGATTAAGAATAAAGTGATTGCATCTGTATTAATCAAATCAACATGTGCATAATCTTGTTGTTTTCAGCATTTATACAATGAACATTACAAAATTGCAAATTTACGAAATTTGGGCGGAATAAGTAAAAATACCTGGATTCGGAGTCACATCTAAAAAAGCTTTAGCCTGATACTACTGATGCTCTGCGAACTATGTGTAGCTATATGGAGAAACCCACCCTAACGTCTTAGTATTATTTGGGTTAAGGGATTAGTATTTGTATATAAATTTATGTTTCGACCGTGCTCGTTTTGTAATTTTACAATGCAAGTCTAACGTTTTGACTGCACTAGACGACCTTGACGATCAACCAATTGCTAGGTAAATAAGACGACAAGACATTAAGACGACAAGACATTAAGACAACAAATAAAAATGGTAACATGTAAAATGAGCAGTTCGGATTTAAGCGGTTTTAATTTCTCTGTAACCTAATGAAAAGAATTGCGTTAAGCGTTGTCTTTAAATTTCCACCAAAAACGGTTGTCGTCTTAAAGGCTGCCGCCTTATTCGCCGGTCACTCATCAATCAAGGTAAATGCTTATAATTGCTTTATACTAAATGCTTTTAAAATATAAGTTTTGATAGTGAAAATTGATTTAGAAAAAACATCAGGTGTCACAACAAAACATGAGGCAGATTAATTACGCTTGAGAAAAGTTTTGAAAGGACCGATCGGCGCATATTGATTAAGTTATTTACTGTATTTGCTTAAAATCAGTGTGCTTTAGGCCCCTCTCTCACTTTTGGTTTTTAGCGGTACCCCTTCATCGAACTTCCACCGAATCTTCCATTTCTCCATTATTTTATTATCAAATTTTGAATGCAACAAAATTTTATTTTTGTTCTAATCCATTTCTGGTCAAAAACTTTACAAAATTATGTTTTTCTAGCCAAATTATCCAGTCATGGCGACGGGACTGAGGCCTTCGATCTTCTATCAATTGACATGCTCGCTAACCAGTAAGCCACAGAACACTTGTGGATAACATAAGTCGAAGCAATCTTATCCAAACTAACACTTGGTTAGCTTCAAAACAATTATTGGATAAGAAAAAGAATTTCCGGTCAAAAAGCACAAAAACTTAAATTAGAGTATCTACCGAATTTTTCTATACACTTCAGAAGCTTTTGTGGGGTTTGGGGGACTTAAATATGCTAGAAATGATCTGCAAGTTACTTGAAAAGAATTTGAATTTTTTTTTGACAGTCCTTTTTGCTTACCTGTTCCATTGCTGAGTTCTCGGGCGTTCTTTCCCTCCGTCATTGTTATTAAATAATTAGTATTTTTATTTCTAGAATTAATAAATTGAAATTGAAACTTTAATTGCGAAACTTAATAAATCATTTCAATTTATCTATAGAGGTGTTGAGAAATTCCAAGAGGAGTTTTGATGAAAGATTTGAAAATAGTAGTCACTTGGTATAAATGGTAAGAAACACGCCGAGTAATCAGTTGGACCATCTAAGCTAAAGACATACACACGCTGCCTTGCCTAACAGAGTTTGAATCGTACATTCGTATCTTTAAGTGCAAATAAGCCCGTTGGTCAAACCTTCGCTTTATTTGCTCTGATGCGTATGTATCTTTTTAATTAGAAGATTTGAAGTATTTATTAAGTTGATTCTGATTTTAAAAGGTTTTTTAGATTCACCGCCCTAAATGGAAAACAAATGAAAGATTGTTATAACTCAGCCACTATATGTTCAATATAAAATGCGAAAATGCTTTCTGCTGCTTTTAAAACTTTTTGAAATAAAAAAAGATGTCAACTTTTTAGGTGGACTAATATTATTTTTCTAGGACAAAACTTGTTTACGATTGAGCTAAATATACTTTTTGGTTTAATTTTCCACACGTTTTATCGAAATTGGGCATCGTGCCCCTGCCATGTTTTCCCTGATGAGTCAGAAAATTGAGATTAATTTTGAATATGAAGATATTGGAAGAATTGTTTATGTGACACTATCGGATACTATCAGTTCTGAGAAAGAATCGAAAGAATTGGTTCTGAGAAAGTACCCAGGGTACCTAGCCAGGGAAAAACTTTAGCTTCCCGCCAGGAAATTAAAGAGTCCAGGGAAATCCTGGACCTCCTGGCAAAAATTATCCAGGAATCCTGCAAAGATATCTAACTAACTTTTTTTGATGATTGTTGAAAAAAGTTATATTTTCATTCTCTAATTCTCATAATAACAGATTGAAAATTAAATTCGAGACATCGGGGAGCTTTACTTTCAAAAAAGTTTTTAAAGCCAGGCCTGGACTCCTGCTAAAAAGTTTTCCAGATAATCCAGGAAATCCAGAAAAAACTAGGACTTTACAAAAAAACCCACATCAATTTAATTTGGTTTGAAATTAGTTTCGAACCAAAAACTCAAATCAAGCATTGAAACTCAACTTGTCATTTCTCAACGTTTTATCATTTCTAAAAGTTTTTTTGTTTGTTAATTTTTATACTCATGAAATCCCCAAAAAACTCCAGTAATACGCTTAACAAAGAACAAAGGAATTACTCCGCAACCAAGAGGGGTTTATACGCAAATGTTTACACGCAATAACTCCGGAAAAAATTGTTGGGACAAAATTTCTGAATAGTCACGTGCGACAGATCTTTAAAGTGGTTTTACAAATTCAAGCAGCCGGACGGTATGAGAGCCAGGTGGTTTTAAAAACTTAGAAAAATCCAATTCGAAATTAAGCACGAGGTGGTTTGTTCCAATTGCCACTGATGAAATGGTTAATCAAAAAAGAAAAAAAACCAAATTTTCGAGCAATATCTGGGAACAAGCAAAAAAATTCCTGATTTGAATTGCAAACAGTTCAAAAAGATGAAAACAAAATAAAAGAGGCCGGAGAAAAAGCACATGAGAGGCTTCTCAATGAAGTTGTGGAAAGTTTGGATTCTGTTCCAAAATTGCTGATTGAGAACGACCTAGTAAAAGGAAGAAAACGACAAAAAAACATTACCTCGAATGTCAAATTGTAGTGACTCCGATATTTACGGAGAAAATGATCGTTTTTTTACACTATTCTTGTGGAAGTTTTGGCTGCCAAAAAAGTTTTAAAGCAAAACCGAAAAAGTTTTTTTTGCAGCCTGGAATGCGCATGTATTTTATAGATTGGGTTTGTAGCTGTAAAAACATTTTAGCCAAAAAATCTAGCCAAAAACTTTTGGCGGGTAATTTTGGATACCATGGTATTGTCATGGGAATCAGAAAATTTACAGTAAAAACTTTTTCATGGAGATCAATTCTAGAAGTGCTAGAAAGCGGCACCCTCGAAAAACCATGAAACAAAGACAGTAGCAAAATCTTTGTTAATTGGCTATATTTTACGTTTGGCTGCCCAGCAAATCTGCACAGACTAAGAATCAAAGTTTACGTCATTCCGGTTCAAAAACTTGTTTTTCGAACTGGGAATCGATAGAACTAGCACAACTCATATCATCCTCAGGAAATTTAGTTGTGAAAATCACCAACAGAAGAAGCGAAAAAACCTTGTCTGAACATGTGGTTGAAAACCACAATAATCGTACCAATTATTTTCAAACAGTTATGATGTCGTATAGATCTTCAATGCATGCAGTGACAAAAAACAGCCCATATTACTTGATCTTTGGTCGCCCTGGCTCTTTGCCAATCAATTGCATGCATGAAAAACTAAAAATTAAGTCTTCGCAAAGACAGGACACTTTGTGAGGATCATCAAGCCATTAACCGTTGCGCGATACGATGGATGTCGCAAAAGAACTAAGTACAGCGTTAACGACAAAAAAAACTACTTTTAAACCCTACTCTTTGCATGTGACAGTTTTAGTTGTTCTATAATGGACCACGCATAATCAAACAGATTGTAAACAATCTAAGCTGTGTGATTGAAGACAAAAAAAATATAGGAAACAGAAAAAATTTCATTATTATAGGTTAAAGGCCATCCAAGAACGAACAAATTAATTGCTCAAGAAGAAGATGGTGATAAAAACTGCGCCAAAAAAAATACATTAAAAGACACAGCGGAACAAGAAAACAATGCCAGCCCAAAAGTAGAATCTTCTAGTCTTTCTACCCCTGAGCTAGAAGCAGCAAACTCGGAAAAGATAACTTCCGATCTGTTCAGTACCCCATCAGAGATATTGGATATAGGAGAACCAATTGTTGCAACATCATCTGCAAAGGATCAACGTTCTAGACACACCGAAAAATCAAGTAGAAAACTAGAAATGAAAAATGAAACATCTTCCAAATTACCAAAAAAAGAAAAAGCAAAAACAATTTTAAAATCTACAGCAGCTAATTTTGTAAGCTTCGCCAAATTAAAAAGAGACGTAATCAAGGAGAAAGTTCAGAAAATAATTGTTGTATAAAGGACCTAATCTTTATTCTTGTTTTCTTGTAGTCAAACTACTTGTGAGAACACAAAACATATGAACTTTAGTAGCATATGTTTTTGAAAACGTGATTAAGATTGAGATAGTATCATTGAATAACGACAGCCATTGCAGAAAGGAAGACTGAAGCGCTCAAAAACAAGAAGCTACTGTTCAAATCGGTAGCAAAAGAACTGACTACAACTTATTGCATGTGCCTGACGTCATATTCGAAGACGTTGCTGGAGAAAGCAGCTGTTGGGATAATGTAACGAATCTGCTTGAATATTCCAAACTTTGTCCTAGTTTTTATCCACTCAGCGAATCAGATTGTGCCACATTATAAGACAAAAAAGGTAAAAACACAAGTTTTTGGAAACGAGGTTGTTGTTATACCGCTGGAGAAAGTAGATAGTATCTTAGTATCAGAGGCTTTGGAGAGTTTTAGTGTAAATTTATCGAAAAAATTACCAAAAAAAATTGTAGAGATGTCAAAACTGTATATCCTATAGAGTGCATTTCCCCGCACTAATCGAATAATAAGGGATAAGTTCTAATTAATGGTGAAGAAACCATTGAAATCTTGTATGCACAAGTAGGAATCGCAATATTAATTTGTGTAGTTTGTTGATTTTTGAGGACCCAATAGGAATACCATAAGTGAAGAAATGGAGGAACAGTAACATCGAATTTGATTCGGTAGCGTACATGCATGATGTTGAAACACTTGGAGAACCAGTTGGCAAGTTTTCAAAACAAACTTAGTGCTTTTCTCTTTTCAACAAAAAAATTTTGATTAACTACGAGGGCAAATTGAAGTGTGTGGGAGAAAAGGTCATTGCAGTGGAAGTCTTAAATGATCAAACCATATTGCAGGCTCTACTGGTAAACAAAACAGTCATCGCTTAAATGCATTCACGTCTGGCTTTTCAGCAGTTGTTAGGGATTAACCGCTAAAATGGATTAACCGCTAAAAATGTAATACAGAGTCACTTAGTTACGTTTTTCACGAAGAAATAAAAAAAATGAAAAAATACTTCAATGTTTGGAAAAGCACGGTTGTGATATAGATGATTTTGCATAGCATTTAGCAAAAGAAACCAAAGTGAGGAAAACTTGCCCCTGGATGATTACTTCAAAAAAGCGGGAGATATCTTGTACATACATCGAAAGGCAAAAAAAAGGTCAAATTCGCAGACATATCTTTTTGCACAGAATAATTAACTGTTGAAGTCACAAGTGCAAGCAGTGATTCGCACATAAGGTTTTGGGACCCAATCAGTAGAGTAAACTATCGCAACTATGCTCTCAGTGTTCGTAATAGAATCTACTCTTGTGGGTTTGAATTAGATAAATGGAAGTACGCAAAACATACTGAAATTGATTCCAATAGATTAAGAAAAACGGAAAAAATATGCAATTTTTTTTAACTCTAAGGTATTTTCACTGATAAAAAATTAAGAGATGGCCAGCTTTCACAACTTATGAAACACAGTAGGAAGACAACAACAGGACGAGAAGTCTTCCCTGGACAAAACGGGGAATACTCTCATGATTGATTGGGTTATTTGGGAAAAATTTTCATCATACAGCTGGTACTATTTTCCTTCCTTTGTAGAAATGAAAATACACATGCTTCGGTTATTGGGAAAAGCTAGAGAAATTGAATTCATAAAGCTACCAGCCAGTCTTCATTGTAATGATTTTGGAGTGGTTTTGCGTATAATTTTTTTTTTATGAAAGACAAAGCAAACAATATTCCAGCCATTAAATTGATTGGAGGAAAACAATTTTTTTGGCGTTTGAAAAAAATAACAGAGAAAGAAGTGAGAAAACGTTTTTGTTAATGGAAAATAATGTGCTATGTACGGGACATTAGGACCATGCAATTTAAAATCAGAAGGTAAATCACGTAAGTTTAGACTATTTGGAGAGTTCGAGACAAGTTTATACAAGTTTGAGTGCAGTTAGGGCATAAGAACAATACAAAAACACAATGTTATCTGTGGAGATGAAAAAATTGGAATACACATCGTAATCTATTAGATTAAGAGAAAAAAGTAGGGTTTTATGAAATCGAAAAGAGTCTGTGGTGTGGGAGATTGTATGAATTTTATACACCCTGAGGTAGTTACCTTTA